CCTAAAGGTCCCAAGTCACTCCTACCCTAACACATTCATTCACTCAGTGAACATCCACTGCTCTGTGCCAGGCTCCGTGCCAGCCACGTGGGGTATAAACACCTACAAGGGGTTCAGCCTCCACGGAGGAGGTGGTTAAGTCTACAGAGAACATCAGTGAAGGGCAGTAAGAGCTAAAGTGGAGCAAGGAACTAGTTCTACGTGCCTCTGAGGACCACTTTTTTGAGCCTGGGGACTAAAGTCGCATCAGAGTGAGATAGCTGAATCTCTCTCTCTTTTTTTGTACAGAATCATTGACTATATTCTCCATGCTGTACTACTATCCCTGTGACCAACTTACATTATGACTAAGAATTTTTGTGCCCCTTTATTCCCCTCAACCTCCCCATCTGCCACTCCAACCCATGGTAACCACCAGTCACTTCTCAGAGTCTGTGAGTCTACTGCTGTTTTGTTCATTCTGTATTTCTTTCTTTTTATATTTCACAAATAAGTGAAATCATATCGTATTTGTCTTTCTCCACCTGGCTTATCTCACTGAGCATAAGACCATCTAGTTCATCCATGTTGTTGCAAACAACAGGATTTTTTTTATGGCTGAATAATGTTCCGTTGTGTATATGTGCCATATCTTTATCCATTCATCTATTGATGGACACTTAGGTTGTTTCCATATCTTGGCTACTGTAAATAATGCAGCAATAAATATAGGGTGCATATATCTTTTTGAATCAGGGATTTTGTTTTCTTTGGGTAAATTCCTAGAAGTGGAATTACTGGATCAAATGGTATTTCTAGTTTTCGTTTTTTGAGGAATCTCCCTCCATACTGCGTTCCACTACAGCTGTACCAATTTACATTCCCACCAACAGTGTAGAAGACTTCTCGTTTCTCCAAATCCTCACCAACACTTGCTGTTTCTTGTCCTTTGGATAGTGGCCACTCTAACTGGGGCAGGGGTCATAGGGAAATGGAGAGGGTCATGCTGGATAGGAAGGCAGGGCCCAGGTCTCAAAGATCCTTTTATAACATACTACGATGGCGGAATTTTATACTAAAGGTCACAGAGTCTTTGAAGGGTTTTAAATGTCATGGCCACAGAATGGAAGACGCATTAGAGACAGAGACAGGGCTTTAGCCAGCAATCTAGCTGAGGGAACTTTGTTTAGATTGGAAAAAGGAGATCCCCTGCAGAGACACAGCGGCCAGGGTGCCAGACTTGAGGGTTGAGAGTGGATTCGATTTCTGCCTTCACTCAGCTCTCAGCCAGGTGCCTTTGGGCAGCGTGCACACTGCACAGCTGCAAGGACCCCTCGACAAAAGGACAGGGTAAGAGATTTTTGCCAGAACAATGGCAGAGGCCATGAAATGAAAAGAAAGCTGTAAGTGTAAGAGGTGTTTAGAAGAGAGAATTGTGAAGTCAACTTGGCCATGAGTTGAGATAGATGAACAGGTCACAGGAGCTGGGTTTGACTGGGTGGGCAGAGGTCCCACAACCATAGTAAAAAATCCAGGAGTAGCAGCTTCAGTGGAAAGCTGATAAACTCTGTGCGGGATATACTGACTCAGTGGTTCCATACCCGGGGGAAATGTCCAACAGACTGCTGGATATATGGTTTGAAGCACAGATAAGACGCACTGCCTAGTAATATACACGTGAGTCATCAATGTGCAAAAATGAGCTGTCTGTGGAGTTCAGACCACCCATGCTATGGGTTGAGAAGAGGAGAGGATTTATCAAAGGTTTCATTTCAATGCTTTATTCCTCTGTTGACAGCATCTGTAATGAATCAGGGATAGAACAATGACCACCTACAGTGCCTCCTCTGTTTTCTCTCTTTTCTTTTGTTCTTCCTAATGTCCAGAGTGGTGGTACCTGCCATTTGAAGACCTGGTCTTAAGCTTCCCTACAGAGAAACAATTGGTTGTCCCACCAAAGCCTGTTTAAACATGAGCTGTGAGGGCACAGGGACATATACGCTCATAAATAGTTTCTGGGAGCGAGCCTTTATCTTTTTAACCCTGTAATTGTGTTCAACTGAACCTGATGACTTTGGCATTAGGCATTGAAGGAGCTGCTGGCTGTGTTTCTGGCTAAATCTGAGTCGCCACTACAAAACAGGAACTCGAAGCAATGAATTGGGTACAAGAACCTGAGCATGACCAAGATTGCAGAACCTCCGGGCAAAATGAGGTTTCCGTTAACAACTGCGCTTTTCTCTCCCCACCAATTAGAACAAACTGGCAGGTAGCTGAGCCGGGAAATGAAGCCTTATCCAGAAGCACAGCCTGACGGTGGTGTTTTCTCTGGTAGCTCCGCGCTAGTCAGAACTGTCGGGTAGAACCTCATTGCAATGGATTCTTGAGCAAGGTGTCTGCAGTTGTTAATATCCAAGGACGGTAAAGATTTTTGTTCTAGTAACGTAGATGCAATAAAGAGAAAACAAACCCTTAACTGTCATTCCTTTATTTATTCATCCCATTTACAAGTATTCATTGAATGTATTTTATGTGGCGGGCATCTTTAATTCAAAGATGACACCTAAGCTCCCTCACTTTCTCTTTCGTGATGCTGGTCACTGGATTTGCCTTCATGATTCTCAGTGGAAATGCCAACTGTATTTTCCTAAGTCCCATTTCACTCATCCGATGGGGGTCCCCATTACTTGGCTCTCCTCTAAGTAGCAGGATGGTTTCTTTTAAAGAGGACGGGCTTTCCAAGTATTTTTCTAATTCAAGGGAAAGGTACTGTTGGGAAACAGCATCTTAGCTTTTGTCTCTCTGGGGAAAGAATGACGACTTCTCTCGCAGAACGGGAGTCCAGCAAGGCAACTCTAACACTAGCTGGGTGTTCATCCTGTGACATGTTATTTTGTCAACTCCGTTCAAATGCCTTGTAGGCAGAATTAGTGACTTCAGAGTCCCTCACCATGGGAAAGAAATGACCCAGTCATGGCAATGTAATGGCCCCTGTCTTGGCCAGCTGTCATGTAGGAACATAGAAGAAAAAAACAGTATGTGCCATATTTCTATAGACTAGTAAGAGATTGTGTGTCCATTAGAAAAAGTTCTCCCCAAATACTGACTCTTCTAGGGTGGACAAACAGTCTTCAGGTTACCTACAAGATCAAACAGCTGCATAAAAGGAGGAAAGCCTAAAGCTCAAGTGTGAGAAGACAATACAAAGTGCACATTTATCAGGAGAGAACATAGAGCAACTCAAAAGGTCTTCTTGTCTAAGGGGAGATAATTTAATTGCACCAGCTTAACTTCACAAAATGCTCAGGAAAGCATCCCTCGCATAAACGTCTTAATATCTAGCAGAACATGTTTTGGTCTGGGTAAAATATTAGACCCTTTTGTTTTGGTATTTGCGCTATGCAGTTTTTAATCCTACAGGTGTGCATGTGATTTTGCTAACCAGTAATATTCTTCAGATTTTCAAAATCTAAATTCTGCTCTACAGGGAGATGCAACCATAAGGGGAGGTGTCTGCAGCTCCCCAAGCGTCCGTCCTTCACTGGAGCTCGTTGGCCACTCAAGAATGGGTGGGTAGAGGGTTTTTGGGCACATGAACAGGGCCAGGCCAGATGGTATCCCTAGGAAACAGCTTCACGAGAGACGCAGGAAAGAGCTGAAGTTCCTGATCACGTGCAAAGTACATACATCTGAGGCAGGGCGGAGCTGCGGAGTGACCCGGGTGAAGGAAAACACCGAGGCAGCTCTGGAGCAGGGATGCCGCCCGGCCTTCAGTGCATTGCCAAGCCTGCCCGTCACTGGGCTCTATGCACCGCCAGCCTTCGGTCTGCACAGCTCTGTCCCAGGGACTAACTGTGAACATGGCAACATTCAATAATCAAGCCTGGGATGACCACAACCCAGGGTAAGCACGTGGCTAAGATGCGGACAGGATCTTCCTCATCAGCAGTAGGGAGATGCTTTCTGATCTAAGTAATGGGTTGAAATTGGGGACTAGTGAACTGGTCTTATTTTAAATAATTTCCTTTTCAAAGACTGATAAAAATATTTGCTTATGGAACATGTTCCTTCCACATTGGCCTTCTAGTTCCACTCAGAGAATCAAAGCAATTTGGCTATTGAGGTAGAAGTAAATTCTATTTAACATTTCTTTTCTTTTTGACTCCATTTGATAAATCGGGTTATTTTCTTTTGAAAAGCCTGCTGGAGCTCTCCTGCTTAGCTCCTTGGTCCTCATTTGCTGGTTCTGATAAAGCTGATATTCTCCTTTGCTCTTCACCTGCTAGCATGGGATGCAATCGGCCCACGTGTCTTTGTTCTTATGGCGCATGAGCAATATTTTAAGTTTGAAATGGGTTACCTTAAAAAAATCATCTCTCCTGAAGATAGCTTTAAAGTTGTTTATTCCAAGGCTATCCAGATATAGGGACAGGGCTTAAAAATCATTTATGGCCCAGTTTACTCTTTGGTTCTCTAATTTTAAGCAGTAATTTGTGTAACTTTCTTGACTGAATTAAGCAGGCTTTACACATGATCACATGTAGGATTAAGAGAAGATGATACTGAAAATGGTGAAGTTTTTCATTCATCCATCCACTCATGCATCGACATTTGCTGAAAAGATCAGAAGGCCAGGCTCTAAGAGTTCAGCATACAAAGATGAATAAGACACAGCCTTGCCCTCACAGAAGAGATAGAAATGTAAACTAATATTGCCATTAGTACAATAATGACACATATATATCAGGCCCAAGGAGGGTGTGATAAACTCAGTCTGAGGAATCCAAAGGGATTTGACTGAGGCTTCCCAAACAGCATTTCTTCCTGTCGTTTCCTGGTTTTTATGGTACCCAGGTGATAAGTGTGCAGTAGAGGAGAAACACTCTTCACGCCAATCTCTCAAGTACCAAGATAAAATACTGAGTTCTGCAAAGTAGCCCAGTTTGTAGTCACTCCTCCAGTCATATCGCTCATTGCCAATAAAGAGAAAGAAGTGCTTACTGTAAACGTGTATTTTTTACCTTTGCTGAAGAATGGATGTGACCTGCTTGCAGAAATTCTCCCCATTCTGAGAAAGCTCCTTTAGGTTCTTGTACACTTTAGTATACTGAAAAAGAAAAGATACACAGAAGGATTACGAGCGCTTCCAAAGACAGAACTCCTATAAATTCAGAATACTTCTGTAATGATGGCCGTCACAGGAAATGATTGTGCAGCTACAGGGACGCACACCTTTCGGATGAGCTCTTAAAATGAAGATGACGTGTCTTCTGCTTGGACATAAAAGATCCTGGAGAACTTTTCAAAAATAAAGTTGGTCTAACTGTTTCTTCCTGGGCCAAATGCAAACAGTTCAGCAGTGGAGTATACCTGGAGTCTGGTTTCCTGTTGCCCTTATTGCTCCCAGGATGGTTAAAAGCACATTCTGAAATACACTGAGTAATCATTTTGTGTCTGCCCGCCAAAATCCAGAATAATATACCCGGGCCTCAAACACTGGACTCGCTCAAGTGAGTGTTTCTTATTTGTGATGTGAATGTGTTAGTGAATGACTTGTTAGTAAAATTTTCCCTAGTCCCTTCTATATCCCATTTAACTCTAGTGACAAGAATGTTATATATTGAGTTGAATATTTTTATTGCACCAAATATTTATAAATTTATAAGAAAACCTTTATACATTCTTTTATGTATGAATTCAGCCTGCAGACACAAGATTTCCAAGGGAAGGATTTTTCCATTTGATTTAGAACTCTACATTGTCATTCTGATGTTACATTTGTAAAAGCAGACATTGATGAGAAGAGATTTTCAGTGCCCAAATGGGGAGAGTCCATGCCCATGGATTCTGCAGCTTACCTGATACTGAGTAAGGGACGTTAGGTGGTGCAACAGTCCTAAGCGCACTCACAGTTGCCATCTGCAAGGTGCAGGGGCCAGTTGCATTTCTCAAACTGAGATTTTACACAGGAGGATATGCAAATTCTGTATGAAACGCGCGTCATGCTGCGGCTCTGCCCGTGAGTGGCGTTGGTCCGGCACTGAATTGAGAGCTCGCAGCAGTGAGCGTCTACTGAGCAGGCACTTCACAGACGTGACTCTTCACGGCTGAGGCAGCCTTGCAGTTAGCCCAGGGGCACGTGGGGTGTGGCCCCAGCACAGGAGCCGAAAGAGGTCACTGGGCCACAGAGGAGGAAAGACGTAAAGAAACGACATGATCCGGGTCCTTGACTTCCAGGGTGGAATGACACAAACTGGGATGGAGAGACACCACCCCACAGATACCAGCCCCTTTTATCTTTCACAGTAGTTTACCTTTCCTCTGACTTTAACACGGAAAGCCACCGCAGGACTTGGCAGACAACATAGTAGCAAACAGCTTCTCTGAACCTGCCTGGGACACGAGGGCCGTGGCCGAAGAGCGAAGCCCTTTGGAAGGACACCGTTAACTCCTAAGCAAAGTCTGCAAAATTATGTGCCTGCAGGCGCCTGTCAGACACTCGAGTGAGTGAGGAGTGAGGAGTGAGGTGGGAACCACGGGCCGGGAGGCAGCTGCCACCTGCTCTGGACGTGAGAGTGTGGCCTGGGATGGCCAGAGCCTCCAGTTTGTTCAAAAAAGCAGAAATAAAGATTGACATCGGAAATACGATTTAAAAAAAATTATAGCAAACATTTCACACATTTTAAAACTCTCCACAAAGCAAGCAAAGCACACCTGTCCTGTTGTCCTGGTGTGGCCTCGGCCATGAAGGATGAGTCTCAGCGTCACGAGAGTGACATCACTGTTCGACAGCCGGACTTTCTCATGTTTATTTCCACAAAAATGACTTGCCATCTGTGAATGATGCACTATAAGGCCTCCTTCCTCCCCTTCCGGGTACGATGGGAAAGTTTTAGTGAGCATTTTAAAACTATTTAGTTTTTTGTGCACTTCTCTATTCCCTAAACATTTTCACTGATTTTCCCCCTAAGCCTTTCAATTCTTCCCATACGACTAAACAACACCCCACACAGCACACGTAGGTGTAACCACCTGACGAAAAGCCCCCCAGGGAGGCACACGTGGGGCTTTGTGCGGGGTTTCAGTGAAGGTCCCACCCTGCTCTGTCCTGGCCCCGGACTTAGACATCACGGCTGATGCCAGAGCGTGGCCTTGAGGATGGACGCCTGTGCGTCGTAGAGCAACCAGAGAAAAAGAGCCCATGTCCCCGATGGCCGTGGGCCTGCACACAAGCCCTCAGCTCTCTACTCCTGTACTTAAGTGTGAGAGAAATACAATGACAGGCTTTTTTTTGGAGCCGCTCATTTTGGGTTTTTAAAATATTCAGCTGAATGTAGTTCTAAGTCAAACACCGTCTTTTAAAGTTTATTTTAAATTATGAAACACTTGTATGTTTCATGAAATAATAATGATACAGAAAATAATAATGATGCACATTGTGTACTCACTACCTAAGTTACAGAGAGATTAATGCTTTGCTTCTACTTTTTTGTTTTCCTGATTTCTCTTTAAACATATTTTCTCCTTCTTATAATTTCTTTGGTTCCACTTGGGCATTTATTCTTTCATAGGAACATTTCTCCAATAACAGTTTTTTTTTAAGTCCCTGTTCGGATCCTACTTAGAATTGCACCCTATATATATATATATATACACCCATTTGGAGAAACTGACTTTTTTATGGTATTTAACCTTCCTATCCAAGGACATAGTAAGACCTCATTTATTCAAGTCTTGTTTTATGTTCAATCAAATTTTGTAATTTCCTTTATAGATCCTGTAGCTTTTTTAGTTGATTTATTTAGAAATATTTCACAGAATTAAGCTTTTTTTTTTTTGTATGTAATGTCCTATTTGCTTGTCTTTCTAGCCCACAGCAAATCAGAAAGACCCAACAGAAACCCCAGGGCGCATGTGCAAGAGAGAAAGATCTGGACACATGCCTGCAGAGTGTGTTTCTCTCCGCTCAGACGCTAACGGCTGGGGCCGGGGCGGGGAGAAGAAAAGGCCGAGAGGTGGACTGCAGGGGTTTGGGGCCTTCAGAGCAGGAGTGAGGAGAAGAACCTCCCGCTGGAAAAAGCAGAGGTGGTGGGAGGGGCTGAGAGGAGCTGTCCTAAGGGGTGGGCCTCTACCAGCCCTCCAGCTCCTGAGGGCAATCTGCCTCCCACAGTCCTGGGGAGAGAACTGGGGACCTCAGGTACCGGGTGTGAGGATGTGGGTGGGCTGCCCGTAACCAGAGTGGCAATGAGCAGAACCAGCTCCTCAGCTAGGCTGCAGGAGCTGCTGCATGTCCCAAACTTATGCAAGCCACCGAAGCTCTCCCAAACACACTTTTAAATTACCATCTTCAGAGAAGGAGTTCTGGGCCAGAGACAGCTACGAGCATCTGTAAGCCAGGGGATGATTCAGAGCTCCATCGCTTTGGCGGGACGTAGGGGAGCCTGTGGCACGATGGAGAGTGCCTGTCTCCCAGAGGTGTTCAAATTCAACTTTTTAAAGCAAGAGGCTGCTGCTCAAACAAAGCACGTCTTCAGCTTCAGATGGCCTTGTGGCTGCCAGCTGTAGACGTGGGAGATCATTTCCTGTCATTTAATGGATCGGTGCTTCCCAAGTTTTATCACATCATGGCACACCTGGAAAATGATGTTTGTACTGCGACAGCGCAGTAATTGGATAAAGTTGTTTTAGGCAGAGGTAACTGGCCGATGGGCTCTGCCCCCAGCCACAGCCTGCCCACTGGGGGGCCGAGAGCACCTGTGTGTCAGGTGCACCTGTAACCCATTCGCCAAACTCCAGCAAGCCCAGTACGCAAGGCAGGACACTCTACAACCTGTTACGCTGTTGTTAACTTAGTGATCAGACAGGAGCGGGCTGTTTCTCTTAGGACAGCAGTGGAGAGAATCTTTATCTGGATGCTCCCGACAAGCCCTGATCCACACTGAGGTCAAGGTGACGTAAATAAAAGAACTGTGGAGAATAAGTGCATTAGTTCAGCATATTCCCTGCTTCAGAAACGATGATTCTCTACTTTTCATTGTGTACCATCTACCTTAGAAGACGAAACCTGTGAAAAGCAGACTTGCGTAAATATCAAAGCAGAACCCAGTTTATCTTGTCCAGTGTGTGTGTGTACCTGTGTGTAATCAGAAAATCTTAGAATGTATCTGCTTTGAGGGGATGAAATCTTTGACCTGGGTGTTGACGCTGCCTCTGCCGTCCCAGCACCCCTTCCCACCTCACTCCCACCCACGGGCCGGGCCTCTGAAGGGTTTCCACAGAGCACAGTTTGGAAACCACTCAAGTCCAGCCCCCTTAGTTTATTGTTAAGGCCCAAACAGCTGAAGATAACCTCACTAGCTAGGAACAGAACTGTGATTAGGAATGTTAGGTGGAGAAATCAATTGGAGAATCCATCAGATATAAATATATTTCTAAGTTGCTCATCAGTATAGTCACACTGTTCACTCAGAGTGATAGTTACCCTTAAGTGTTATGAGCAGTGCAGACGGCTTCCTAATGTCAACAACCAGCACAAAAAGGGTTTGCCTAGTCAAAGTCGTGTGGAAAGTGAATTTTTGGTGTGTTTTTCCCACTCATGGTGTTGTTGGGCAGCTGCGTCTGGGGTGGTCTCTCCCTGCACACTAGGGGAAGCACTAGGAGAAACCTCAGCCTGGATGGGGGAGGGCTCTTGACTCTGAATGAGAAAGAATTCTGGCACAGGTCAGACAAGTGTAGGTAAGGAAGGAATTCATTGAGGCGAGAGTAGCAGTGACTGGCAGCTGCCGTGCAGGCCACAGCAGGAGGATGGGGAAGCTCACTGAACTCCTGCTCGGCACAGGGCACATCCCCTGCTAACTCCTAAAGCCACCTGATGTCCAGTGTCTGCTTGAATCTGCATGGTGTGGGAACTAAGCCCCCACCACCCCAGGATCTGGGGGAGCCACAGAGCCCTGGAGGGAGTGAGATATGGTCTCAGAACTTTCCAAAGGCAAAGAAAGGAGATTTTTTCAGGCAGACTACTAAAGAGCAAGGTTGTATAGCTGCAGTCCTTTCAGGGTCACCCAGGTGATGGGAACTTGCAGCCCAAATCAGAGATCTCAGTAGCCCTTCTCTACTTATCTGAAGTAGAAGAGAGAAGATTAGTGCTTAGTTTAGAAAACTGAAATAGCAAGTAACAAAGACACTTTCCACTGGAAGAGTGCAGATACATAATGCAGTAAGCTGAGCAGAGAGAAGTCTTTACTTACGGCAAAAAGTACACACTCAAAGAAAGGGGAGTGCGGGCAACCTCAGAGAGGAGGTGCACTTAAGGACTCAGGACTCTGTCCTTTAAGGCTTTCAAGAATGGGGCAAAGTAGGGCAGGGGTGCAATGGTAGACTTGACATGTGGTCTCATGGTGTCTGTCTCCAGGTGAGAGACATTATGCCACCATTCACAGTCTGTCTCTAGATATTCTGTAAGATAAACTTACTACAAGGACTTTCTTGACCCAGTTCTTCTCCAAGATAGTGGTTTCCCTCAAGCAATGGGGGCATATCATTTAGGACAGCTTGTGCTGCCTTAAGACAGTGTCAGTTGTCGGCTGATTATCATGAGAAATGTCAGGAATCTTACCTGCTAACTCCCTGATTTTTAAAATGGAATCTTAAGATGGAGTCCCTCCTGTTCTTACTGTACTGTTGGTATCTCAGCATTTTTAATCAAAGGCAGGAAAAGTTAATCATGATGCTTGTCCCATGTCCCTGCCCCACCTCAGTTGATCCTTCAAATACCAGGTCCCCTCCCAAATATTCATTCCAGGGAAGAACTTTCTATTGATCTTACATCTCCATATGAATTTATATTAACATATGCTACTTCTCCTTAGGGTCATTGATTACTAAAAGGAAATACGTGATTTTTTTCACTGATAAAGGAATTTCAGGCTGGCAGTGGAATATCTGGGACATGTCTGAGCTCCTAAAAAAAAAAAAAAACCCTCCACATAGACAATGTCTGGCTTACACAGACATTTCCCATCCAGCCATTAGGAAAACGTTTCTGCTCCGCATTTGTAAGCAGATTCTGTTGGATTTTGTCATTGTAATAAAAAAATCTAGTAATCAGAGCAATTTGTACATCAAATGGTTAGACAGATGACTTCTGAACAATATAAAACGATATCAATCTTGGCCTAGCTTCTCTTTCTGACTTTCCATGATTTGAAAGATTAAGAAGCTTAAATTCAGTTACTCTAGAAAAATCCATTTTTATTCTGGATGGTACTATGGACATTTTTTAGATAATGATGATCCTCATGGTGTTAAATAAACCCTAATATTCCACTTGTATTTAATTAAATAAGCTTGTGTTCAGTGCCTTTCACATGAGAGGCCCTGTGCTACTGATTTCATGTGATTTCTGATTCATAGGGGATAATATTTCAAAGAACTGCCCCTCTAACTACGGGATTATCTGTGAAATATTTGGAATCCCCATGGCAAATTGTCATAGATTATGGGTCATAGAATATTTGAGAACATAATCTACTACACCCTCTCCTCTTCTTCCTATTCAGATGAGAAAACAGAGGCCCATGAAGTATGGAATGGCATGTCACATATCTCAAGGGTGCGCGCTGGGAATGCTGTGGTCCACAGATGTCTATGCCAGACCCAACCTGCCTCCTAATCTCTTCAGTGAACAAGAATCCCTCAGGAGCCAAGGACCATTGTACTGGCATCTTCTTCGTGCCAGGCAACATCTCAGAACCAGGCAGAGCCACAGAAATGAGAAGCTCAGACAGCATCTGAGCAGAGTTGAAGGAGCAGCCCCACAGCCTGGTACTGTTTCAATAGCTATGATGTTAAGGGAAGGGGCTGACTGCGTGGAGCTCAAAATGTCCTCCGGGATAGGATGCTACCCCTGGATACCGTAGCAGTGATAAAAGCAAACACTTTTACGCTTGTTTGCCCATGTTGTCTGCGCATTGTTTCACAGAAAGGCACTTAAAAAAAAATGATGGGATTATTTCATTTGGAGATAATTTGATCCTGCCTGTTTCCTTGTACATGGATTTGAAAATGATTTTGCTTGGCTTATTTTTAGGGTTAGAATCTACACTCATAGATGTTAAAGCATCAAGGCCCAGAGCCAATTCTTTTCTTTTTCAAAAACAGAAGTTTTAAAAATCTTCTTCAAATAAATTCTGACACTCTTAAGATTAGTTAAAAGCCCTACAGAGCATTTAGACAATCTTTGTTACCCTGATGACTAAGAATTTGAGCACAGACACTGACCCGGCTCTTTGAGGTTCAACAGCCCAGCTATCAGCTTTAATGCACCAATGGAGCATTAATCTAAAACAAGAGATTAAAAAATATGTTTTGTATCATGGGACCTGTTGGCAGTCTCGTAAAAACTATTTTACTCAGAGTAATATTTCTAAATGCAAGAAATAAAATAAAACAGGATTACAAAGTAAACTACATTGATAAATATTTGTAAAAACATTTTTTGAAATCATATTATGTGTGCTTCTAATTAATATACTAAGTAACAAGTCTTAAGAATTCTTCAAATTTCTAAGTCCTACAGAGTGTAAACAACATTTCTTGATATCCAGAAGTATCATTATAGCAAATACATTTCAGCAAACAACTGCAATGTTATATAAAAATATGTGATTTTTATTGGTTACAAAGTCACAGACACTCCAGTAGTACTGGGATTTGTTATTCATATTCAGAATTTAAGGAAATTCTAAATTTCAGTTAGAAATGACTATAAATAAAAGGTTACATTTTTCCCATTGAAGCTCATGTGGGATTTCTGTACTTGGGTCCACTTGCATAGACCAGGTTAAGAACTGTAGCTAAGCTACAGCTTTGTGAATTAATTGTGTTCTCTGTAACCCGAGGGACTCAGGGAATGGGACACCCTGCGGGTGGCTAAAGCGATGGTCTCCTCATGAAACGACTGTTTCCTGAAGCATCCATTTGCAGTGCATTCCCTTCTTTTATTCGGTTCCCAAATTGCAGCTTCACCTTCCCACGGCATTGCTCCCCAGGCGTGGACTGCATGGACTGGGGCGGCACCAGGAAATCAGTTCAAAGGCTGATGAAGATGAAACAGTTGCAAATAAATGAAGATTACGTGACTGTAGAGGAGTTAAAAACTGGCTGAGGGGGTAGTCACCTCCTCTTGACTCCCAGGCTCCTTTAGTGGCACTGTGCCCACGGAGATGAACTTCAAGGCTGTAGGCAGGGATAGGAGCCCTTGGGGATGATGACTGAGCACGGGATCAAGAACTTTCCAGCACGTCGGTCGGGAGGGAGCATGAAGCAGACCCAGAGATGTGACCGAGGCTGCTCAAGAGGGAACGCTTCTCCCAGATCATCATCAGACGGCAGCCTTGGAAAAGGATGCTATGCTGTCAGGTCAGTTTTGTTTTGCTTTTAAACTTAGCCTGGCTTTAGTTTCCCTCACTTTTACCTCATTCTTCCCTTGGTCTTGACTTTCTTCTTTGCTGACGGCTGGTGCCAAGTTTTGGCTTCCTCTTATCTTGTCCCTGTCCCCACGCAACCAACGCTATGCAAAAACATCACCCAGGTGTCAGAGGTGAGGCAGGAGTGGAGTTAACATTTTAGCAAGGGAGCAACTGCAAGGAGTGAAAAATAAACAAACAGCAAACACGTAGATGATAAATGGCTTCTTAAAAAGTTATCTGGGCTTACCAATGGAGAGAAGATCGAATGGAAGAAATTAAAGGGGGAAAGTTTCATTCTTAAAATCTCTCCATGCTCATATTGTTCAAATTAATTTTCATATTAGGCACATATTACTTCTATATTTTAAAAAGTTAAAGTAGGTAGGGCCTGCTATTACACCATCATAAAAATTAGTAGCCTTTGTGACTTCATCTGATTTAGCTCATCTGGTGGGATAGCAGTTATGGCTCCGTCTTCTCTAAACCTGTTATCCTCATACATGTATAAGCAAAAATGAAACCAATACATCTCTCTTGATCTTTTTCTTTATGGCTTTATTTCAGTCCCCACTTATCTGCTTCTTCATGGGTCTTTTTTTTTTTAATAAATTACTTGAAGGAAGAATGCAGCTTCTTGCTTCTGATGTCACCAATTTTAGTTTTCTGGCACCATTTATTGGGGTAACACATTGACAATACTTCTTTATTTCCAAAGTATAGATATTTTCCTAGCCCCATTATAATTGCTCCTCATTTCCTAAATTACTTCTCGGCTGTGGCGTCTAACAGCCTGACAATGTCTTTGGGCTTTTGATCAATCTTCTATTTTTGGTAACACTCCCAGGATTGGAACAAACACGTTGGCACCCCCCAAAGACCAGACAGAGTGGGCAGTGACCCCTCCTTCCGGTCTTGCAATTCTTCACTCTGAATGATGTGGAAAAATATGCAAAAATCTTCCACCCTCACCTCATTTTTGGAACCCAAACTTGGCTGCAGATTCTGCATGTTTGTGTATCTACTCTATGCATGATGTTGGCAACGTCGGTGTATATTTTAAGAATGTTTTCCAAGCAGCCGCCATCTGCATACAAGTGGAATGCTGTACCCACTCAAAGTTTTTCCAAATATATGAGAATAAAAGATGACAATTAACCTGCCTTATCATTTGCTAGGAAGGACTCTGTTTTAAACTGAGTAATAAAAAAAAAAGCCACAAGACTTTTGTACCACAGCCAACATCTAAATATGTTTGGCTTCTGAGCGTCTCAAATTTCTTAAGTTAAAATCCACTAATATATAAACTCTCACACACAGACATGCAACCACATTGGGCTACTCACCGAGCAATCTGTCCATGGGTCCCTCATGATGAAATGTTCTTTGCTTCTGTCCTTTTACCTACGCCCCAGCATTCAGCACTCGGGAAGCTGCAATCAAGGTTGGGTGTGTCCCGGGCTTCCCAGATTCAAAAGGCCTCACATACATCAGGCCTTGTCAAACACTCCAAGGAGGAAGTCCCAGCCCTGGACTTTCATCCCGTTTGTTTCCTGAAAAAGCAAAGAACTGCTCTGGGTCAGGAGAGCTGGACGAGGGTGAGAATGGCTTCTGCAAATACTTTGCGGGCAGAAAACTGAGTCTTGAACTGCGTGGCCTAGAGAGAAATACATACGGTGTCCCAATTCGGTGCTCAGGGCTGATATGGGGGGATGCATATTCCCTCCGGGTGCCATACTAATCACATTCTTTATTTTCTGTATTTTATGATGCTTTGACATGTTGGGGTTTTCAGACGTGGGATGGACTGCCCTCCCTGGGGTCAGCTCATTCCTAGAGACAGCAAGCAACTTGGCTGTGAGCAGACTCTGATATGCAAGCCAACCAATCCTAAGCCCAGACCCCCTTAATCTATCTCTCCCACCCTCCATGGATATTGCCCCTGCCCCAAATCACCACAGAGCTGGGCCCCAACCAATCGGGACACACCTGTATAACTGTGACTATGGTGGAAAACGTCTAGAAAGGCCAATGGGAAGCAGCTCACACGTTCGCCACCTCTCAGGGCCTAACGCAACCCGGCCTGGAAGGAGCAGGAGGCTAAACTATCTGGCTAAGAAGGGCTTTTCTATATTTGGACTCATTTTTTTTTTCAATTGCTCAAAAGGATAAACAGAACTAATTAGCCATCAGCATCTTATATTTTAGTTGCTTTCTCTGTACCTGTGGTCCCAGTTGTCAATTCTTAGATTTTCAGCTAATTTCTAGAGACAGGACATGACAGCCATTTCCTGGGTGGTGGGCAGCTCTGCTCTGACTGACAGGAAGGAGCAGCGGAACACTTCACAGTTGCCCGGATGAGCAAGCTCCATTCACGTGCCCTTGGTGTCCCAGCTCCATTCAGAGTCCCTAGAAATGATGAATGAAGAGGTGGGGGGACAATGAGAACTTGCCCTGTGCCCAGTGTGGAGAGGAGACGTCCTTAGGCAGGGATTGCCATTCACACACTTAACAACGTTCCCCCTTAGCTTCTCCGAAGGAACTTGATCACTGCAGGTTACAACAGTGGCTATCCAGGGGCTGGAATTAGACGGAGCCACGTGGCATACTGAAAGAGACAGGGTATAAAGGGAGGTTAATCCTACATCACTCAGATGCCTACTGGAGGGCTTCCCTGCCATCAGACATTGTAGACAAACAGCCAGAGACTGGGGGCAGCTTGGCACCCTTGCCCCAATTCTGGCTCTGTGTCTCAATTTGGCTCCACCTCAGTTCAAAATGTGGAACTGACCTCCCTTGCTAGTTCCCACAAGAAATGCCACCACCCCAAGCTTGTTGTGACCTTGGTGACCCTCCTGAAGGTCGGTCAGCATGCCTATACCCATGCGCCTCACGCGTGTCTCTCCCGCGGGCTGACTGGCTCTGCCTTAGGTGCTCCAGGACACCTGCTAAGTCATAAGAGCTCCATCTCGTACAGGGTCCCTCTCACAGATTTGTGAGGATGGCAGGGGTCCTGGCTGCATCTAGCCAGAGAATTAGTTTGGCTATTTGTTGAGCTTCTCAGAGTGCTCGAAATTGCAAAAAATACTGATTTTGGAGGTCAGAAAGGGGGATGTATCAGTTCCTCTTGTCAAAACAATGCTGTGTAATAAACAGAAAACCCAGTGGTTTCAAATGACAGGGACTTGACATGGGTCACACGTCTGTGGTGTGGGTGGTTCCATGGGTGCCTGCGGCCTCAGTGAGGAGAAAGCCAGCTGTCTACACAGCTCTGCTGCTGCTGGCTGGGCTTGGCAGGGTGGCTCTCCTGGGCTCTGCTGGGAGGGCAGCTGGCTGTGAGCTGAGGCAACTTTGCATCAGTCAGTAGCCCACCTGAGCTAGTCTCAGGGCAAAGAGCCAGGAAAAGAAACAGGGGTGCTCAAGGCCTCCTGAGGTGTAGGCTTGGAGCAGACACACCCTCACTTCAGCCACGTTCAGCTGAGCAATGCCAGTCCCAGGCCAGCCCAGATTCAAGGGGTGGAGGAGATTTCACCCCCTCATGGGAGCTGCTGAATGTCCCGTTGGAAAGGGCATAGTTGCAGAAAGGGGCGGAGCGTCACATCCAATCCATGACAATGGTCGGTCAATATTTGTTCTCCAGTGACTAGAGAGGTGAAACAGAAAGGACACTGCAGGGAGTGGCTGACACACATAGTCCTCTCCCTTTCCCCAGTCCAGCCTCTGGGGACATGTTTGGAACTTCAGCAGAGACTGGGGTTGGAAACAGAAATAAGAAGCCTTAACTTGATTAAGGACTCTAGACACAACGTGGAGACCGGGTTGCTGTCCCCTGGGACCCCACACCCCATTCTACACAAACTCAGGCAGAGACCCAGCGAAGCACAACTGCTGGCAGAGTGCAGGGGAGGGAGGGTGCGGTGGCAGGACAGGGCTGCTCGGGTGTTTCCGGCATGAGGCTGTGGCTCGGGGGCACCTTGGCAAGGAGGCCAGAGCAGGCCGACTCGGGGGAAATTTGTCCTTGTGCTCATGAGAACCTTTCAGCTCCCAGAACCCCAGAAATGGCCCAGGGGAGAGTGTTAGGAGGGAGCTGAGCTCCTGTGTGAGCAGAGGCGGAAGAGCCTTGTCGTTTTGGAATTGATATGAACACAATCTCTTTGTAGCTACAGGTTGGTGAGAACTACATACAGTGAAGTATATTCTCTAAAATTAAAAATAAAGTATATCCTTTAAAGTCTATTTTCTAAAAACTGTGGTGCCCAAGGCACCCTTTGCATTCTCTGTCCTCAGCTTTGTCTCCAGCCCTGTTGCTGGCTTGCTTTCACTCTCGGCTTCTTTCCAAGCCCTGGCTCCAGCTTGACTTCTCTTTGACCTTTCAGATCCTAATCTTCCGGCTTCATTTCCCAGCCTATGCTTAGCATGCGTCTTCCTGGCACGACATCTCTGCAGAAAGAAAACCTGTGATGGACTTCCTCAGATCTGGCCTGGAAGCCGGGCCCCTGCACACCACCCACCCCATTTGTGCTGCCTCCAACAGGCGTTAACGACAGGAGTCCACATTTGTGAGATGCTTATAAATAGTTGGTGGGTGTCACTAAGTTAGTAAGAAACAGGACCCCACATGTAAGCAGCGGTTAAGGGCAACACAAAACTTGACTTGAAGTTTGTTTAGTAGCCAAGACATGCAAAGAATGAGAAACAGCACAGACAACTATCAACAGGAACCTGGTTAAATGCCTTGTGGTGAAACCAGCTCACATTTAGAGGACTTGACAGGCTCTCTTCTAAGTGCTTTACAAATATTACCTTATTTAATCATTACAGCAATCATTTGAGATAGATCTGTATTACTGTCATTCTAATAATACACATAGGGAAACTGAGGCACATGGTGGTTAAACAATTTCTCCAAGGTCACACAGTTAGTGGTGCAGCCGGGCATCATCTGACTTCAGTGCATCCTTTTTACTTACCACACTCCACTGCCACTCAATCCATACATTAGGCTATGAAACCTCCAAAAAATGAAGATAGAGTATAAAAATTTAGGATTGAGTATCCAGTTATGTGTGCAGACTTAGAAACAGGTTGCAAAAGAATAAATATTGGGTATACATGAAAAGATCCGATCTGGACACATGCCTACTAGAGACAACAGCCTACCTCTGAAGGCTGGTCATATGGAGGGCTCTTATTAGGCCATGCATTTTTGTATACTTTTAATATTTGAAATAAACATGTATTGCTTTAGAAACCAAATAGGGCAAATAACATTTTTAAGAAGAGTAAAAATTATGCTAATTTTTGAAAAGGAAGAGCTGGTAAGTGAAGGCCTCATCAGTTCCTACCTCCAGGACCTTATGCAACGCTGGTTCCTTCTGCCTGGGAGCCCTTCTCCCTTATGTGGGCCTTGCTGACTCTGCTTCATCCCCGACGTCCAGCTTGTGTCATTTTCCTGGGAACAGTACACTTGCGTTTGTCCCCTTCTTAGCCATCGCACATACCTCTTTTGATTCATTTATCCCACTGTGTTGAAATCACTAATTTAATGGTCGGTCGCCCACACTCCTGAGTGAGCTCCTTTTAGACAAGTACCTGGAGCAAAGCAAATGTCCAATAAATGTTTGCATTTCATTCAATTCAGTACTGAGGAAGCGGCCCCATTAGCTAGTTGATCTTCACTGACAAGACGGCGAACGCCGCCGTGGGTAGGCCTATGTCCTCAGCTCTCAAGAAGCAGAGGTCAGAACACCGGGAGCAAAGATAAGTGGGGCCTCCTGGGCAGGAACTTTCCAATGGGAAGTGGCCCAAATGCAGTTGGGAGTCTCTGACACTGATTAAAAACGTCCTTGACAAGCAGGAAACTGAGAAGGGATCAGAAGAGTCCCAAGGGCCACTACAGGACTTTCTTCAAAATGTGTTGGTTAAAAAGTTATAAACAGATGAGATAAGAAGAGTGTTGGGATCAAGGAAAAACCAAAAAAGTGCCCTCATGCTAAGAATATATTTGAGAAGGGTGGAGTCCAAAATGATCCAAGTTTTGCAAAGTTTGCCAAGAACATCTAAGAGAATTTTCACTGTATCCACGGCCCCCAAGCTCAAGGCAGCTGGCTGGCCTTCCCAATGACAGAGGGAGTGGGGGGCATGGCCAGGGCACTGGGGTCCAGGGATGCTGCACCCAGAAGCCCAGTCCTTGGCCTGCTTGAGCCGAGAGAGCACCAGTGCTGCCATTTCCAGCATGCGAGAGCCGTGGACAGTGTTTGGAAGACGTGACATCCCCTCCGCCAGCTACCCCAGATGCAAGTGAGAAACAATTTCATTCTGACTGAAATGACTTTTCCTTTTAGTCTCTAGTGGTGCAGTGATTAGGTTCCTTAACTTCCATATCTCTCCAAAGCTGGAAGATACATTTCTAAAGCCTTACTTTAATGCATACATAAAAAAAAATGCACCTTTGCCCAAAACCTCAGCATGGAAAGAAAATCTGTCTCATTCAGAAGCACGAATGAGTGTTTCAAACTTTAGCAGGAGCAGGGCAGGCACACACAGATATTTTTAGTATTAATAGCCAGCCTAATTCGCAGCATCTGAGATAACTTTAATCTCAGACTGTACTAATTACATTGTGGTTTTTAAAATTGCACAAAATAAGCTTTTTACCACTTTCCATTTCATAAAAATTAATTTTTAAGTCCATGTCCAAATGGTCATAATCAACTGACTTTATAAATACAAACCAGCCCTGTATTCACTGTGCGAGGGTTGAATTTTCATTGTGCATGTTCAAGTTTCATATGTACTAATTTAAAACCTCCAGATGTTAATGGAGAATAAAAGATGAATGCAAACAGATTAATTTGCATAAAACAAGTTAGCATAAATTCATTTTTCCCCAATAAGCCCTGGGAAATGAAGACTAATGGACAACTAATTACCAACCAAGTCATCCTACAGCAGTGATTTATGGTTTCAACTTCCAAAAAAAAAAAGCATAGGAAGGATATTTTACAAATGTGAATTAGTTCAAGCTACATTTTATCTTCATTTGATCACCTATGTTCACATTGATGTGCTATTACTTACATTTGTCCTAGCTCATCTAGGACCAGTTTTACAGATTTCAATTAAAATGCACCAGAATGTCTGCGTGGGCTCCTTCAGTCTCCGGGGCTAGGTGTGAGACTGGCATTTTTGCATATGTAGATAAAGTGCCATCCACGGGATTTATTTGCCTCCTCCACCTCGGCTGTACTTCCACAAGTACAAGACCATCGATTTATAGTTATTTCCTATAAATCATTGCCAGGCTATGGAGATAGAAGCTTAGAAAGCAGAAGCACTCCAAATGGTCATTTATTGTGGCTCCTTCTGCAGCAGGAGCTGAGGAGCCGGGGATGGGCACCGGGAGGCAAGGCAGCTTTACTCTGTCCTATTTCCTTCCTCACATCGGGATTTTATATGGTGTGCTTGCGTTTCCTACTCAAAAGTATAAGCTCATTTATTTTTTATTTTTTAAGGCCACTGCACACCCGTGGGGCCGAGGGTACCCAGCGTATAAAGCCTGTTAGCTCAGAGCTCAGGTTCAGCCGACCATCCTCTGTATACTTACTAAAAATCTTCCCCTATTGTCTTCTCATTCGAATTATTTAATCCCTTAACTTCTACAACTCTTCTGAACTTGTTCTCTGGAAAATCACTGTTTCTTTAGTCTCTTTGTCGCATTTTGAACAATTAATAATTCACTGATGGCTGTTCATCCATTCATTCAGTTGCTCATATAATGAGGTTTTATGTAGCACCTCCTTTGATCTTGATATTATGAGAGATAAATGCGAACAAACACCAATCCCTTTTTTCAAGGAGGTCAGTATGAGAAGGAAGGTTGTATTACACTGTAATAGATTTTATAAAAGAGATTTTACAGAAATGCAATGGGATTTTCAAAGAGGCACCCATCAGCTTGGCTGGAGAAGGGGAGAATTCCAGGGGACGCTGGTAAGAGATGGTCACCCTTGCTGATGCTTGAAGGGCATGTATTGATCGTCTGGGCATAAGACAGTGTGCGTTGGTGTATTCAGAGGATTATAAATCCCTCAAGAGTGCCCTGAACATACAGCTTGTGTGTGACCTTGGAAATGACAAAGCTGACGAGCCATTCAAAGACTAGACATGGGAAGTGTTGGGTGCTATGTTTTGACTTTAACACAAAGGTACCTGGAGTGACACAGGGGTCTTTTTTCATATAGGATTTGAAGCACATGTGTGATATTCAGATCTGTGGTTTAGACTAATCACCCTGACAGCAGGAGGGAGGGTCTAAAGAGTCTGAGATGAGAATCAGAAAGAGTGGGAGACTGTTGCCAGCAACCAGGGAAAAAATGGTCAGGCCTTAACTAACAGGGAGAGCAGGGGTAAAGTTTGAAAATGGAACCAGCAGGACCTAGTGCTGGACTGGATTGAGAATTAACAGCACAGGAGTGCTGGGATCTTCCGGAATCCTCCCTACGATTCCCTTCTCTGTGGCCTCCAGGGGCAGGAATAGTAGGCCTGGAGTGTGAAAAATGTGGGTTCAAAACATGGCTACACTATACATCAGAATGCTAATTTGGGGGAAATTTCTTAACCCTTTTAGGCTTCAGATTCCTGATATGAAAATGGAAGTAATAATGTCACATATCTCATAGCAGAGTGTGTATAATAAATGTTCACTAAACACTAGCTATTTATTACTGGTATCATTATCATTCTTACTTATTTTTGCATAACGAATTCAGGCATTATTAAAGATGATTGTATATCACACACATAAAACAGTAGATGCTACTATTATAATCCAAAAAGTTGCAAAAACTGACATGACTCTACTCACCAAACAATTTAGAATTCTCAAGAACTTCTAGCTAATATATTTTCTCCTTTTACTTTCTCTTTATGAGCTGAGGCACTTTGTATCACTTTATGGCTCTTGGAACTCAAAAATGGCATCTTCACTTTTAAACAGAGACCTTATTGCATCTAAACATCTGCAGATTTCACTTGATACATTATTAGGGTTTTGAAAACAAATACAGTGTATCGATTAAAAAAATTATCTTAAAGTTACAGACAATTCCAAGTTCAGTACATAGAATTTTTCCTTTTTCCACACCTTCATATTTTAGTGTGCATTTCCTACAAACAAGGTGGTTCTTCAACAAAACCACAATATAACCAACAAAAGTAGGAAATTAACACTGATTGATTGCTACCATCTACTCCCCAGTTCTACCAATTGTCCTAATTATTTTCTCCATAGCAAGAGAACCCCTTCAGTCCCATGCAGGGCATTCAGTCATGGCCCTCTTGTCTCTTTCACTCCAGAACAGTTCTTTAGACTTTGCTTGACTTTTGTGCCATTGACTCATTTCAAAATTACCAGTTAATTGTTTTGTGGAAGGCCCCTCCATTTGTATTTATCTGATTATCTGCTCAGGATTAGAGTCAGGTTCTGCATCTCTGGCAGGAATATCACAGAAATAATGTGCTTTCTTATTCCATCTAACCAAGTAAGTCACGATTTCATTCATTCAGTTACTGAGGGCATTTACCCAGCTATGATGGTGGCTGCCAGGCCTCTTTGCTGTAAAATTACTGCTTTCACCTTGGCAGTTAATTAATATTCTGTGGAGACGTAACTTAAATCTATGTAAACACCTCATTCCTTATCAACTAAGTTTTTGTTATTAATTTCTATGAACTCAGTTTCTCATTTTATTCAATGTGTTACAATCAGTTACTATTATTAATTCTGATGCACAAAATGTCCCAGATTTGGCCAGTGAGAGTCCCTTCGAGTTGGCTCTGGGCTCTTACGCCATTTCTCCCTCATCCTTTGAGCACTTCCTTGCTTTCTGGCCCAATAGGGTTGCTCCATCCCAGCCTGCACTTCCCTGTCCCAACCCTGGATGCAGCCACTTCTGCAAGGAGGCCTGGCCCCACGCAGCAGAACGTGGAATCAGGTGGATTTAGGAACCAAGATCTGGGACATTAGTTGGGCTCAGCGGGGTGTCTGTGGCTCCAGGCCCAGAGGTGGACAGCTAGGGAATATTTAGAAATACGCCAACATGTACACAGGTATACACTTACCTCTTAGTTTGACATCTATCTGCATACTGAAAACCACGAGTTTACATGAATACTTAAAATTCTAATCTAGTCCTACTAAGTTCATCCTGTTTTCTCCCCTCCATATTTGTAAATCCTTCTCTAACAGTGAGAAACGGGGTCCCATTACCCTAATGTTGTTGCACATTTGATCAGTCCCCCTGCGGCCAACTCCTCTCGCTCTGCAGCCACGCTGACCCTCCCTGCTCGGACGCCCGGCGCCCGGCTGCTCCTGTGCACCGGTGCCCTTGTCATCTGCTCAGGCTCGATACTGCATGCTGGGTAAGCCCTGCTAGGGACACCCTCTGCACCCCACCCTGATCACCCACGCTGCGCTGTCCTCCTCTGCAGACACCTCTGTAGCCGGGTGCAGCCTCCAGCACCCCACTCTGGGCCACGCAACTCCCTCCCTGGCATGGACATCCACGCCGCTCTGTCCCATCCAAGGCTTTGGGGCTGAACGGTTTGGGAAGAGCAGGGGGAGGAAGGAAGGAAGAGGTGGAAGGGAAAGTAATGACGAATATCCTTGTGCTTCTGCCGTCTTTGCTGTCCCTGAGCTCTTTGCCGGCTCACCTGCTTCCCCGTGTCCCCCTGATGGGGGCATTTCCCACGGTCGGCCTCAGGGGGCCACGGAGAAGTGATCCGGAGCCTGGACTGTCTGCATCACGGCTTCCCGGCCCTGAGACCTTGGCAAGGCTCCTACCTGCTGTTCATCTGCTTCTTGACCTGAAGAAGTGGAAATAATAATGGTACCTTGTTACAGTCCCATCTTTTCAATGTTTGGTAGACATTTCCAAATGAACGAGCTCTCGTAAGTTCAAATCCAAGATGTAAAAATCAGCTCGTTTTTCTTTTACCAAACTTACTCATCTTCCTGAAGCTTCTATTTCTGAGCATACATACACTAATTTCACAAGCGTTTATAGAGTTTACTATGCAGCAGACATGGCGGCTAAGGATCCAGACATGAAAAGCAAGGTCTTTGCCCCCAAGATGCTTACAGTCCAGTGGGGAGGCAGTGTGCTAAGCAGTCTGATGGAGCTAAATGGTTGCACCTTTTCTTTCTCTAGGAAAAGCACTGCATCCCAAGACATGTAGCCTTTCTGCAAGGAGGTTGTCCATAAGTTAGTCTTTAGGGCCAGATAAGAGTTAGCTAGACAGAGAAGAGGGGGAAAGTCTTTGATGCAGAGTGGGCAGCATGGCCACAGTGCTGGGATTAAACAGCGTAGCACATTCTGATTCCACGGACTTGAGGTCTGGGTGGAGAGAGGCTGGGGCAGGGGGTGAGGATGGGTGAGAGGTGACAGAGGTCAGGCTGCCAACAACCAGGGGACAATGCTAAGGGGTTTACTCACTGGCTCAGAGTCCATTTTTTCAAGCTGCTTTCCTTGAAGAAACCTGGAGGCTTTTCCTGTCTCGGGTCTCAGCATCCTTAGAGCAACACCTTCCACCTCTCATTCTCTGTCCAGACTTACTTTGTTGCCTATGGATTGAATCCTCAGTAATTCTTTGTCCTTATTTCTTCCGATGGCCGTGCATTATCACCCTGCCCTGTCCCAGGATGCCAACCACACCCTGCAGACACCCCTGACTTGCTTGAAGTTAGAGCAGTTATTACTGTAATGGTTAGGATGGGCATTATTTAGCCCACTTTTTTTCTCTTATAAAAGATGACAACAGATCGACTATGCTACTTAAATCCCATTACACTTACCTGAAAACTTGTCCTCCTTACCACGGGGTGCAGGCCCTGTATGATCTGTCCCTCCCTACATCTGGAATGTCACCCTCACTCTCCCCCTGGTTTGCGTGTCACACTGCCCTTCTCTCTGCTCCTTGAATTTACAAGCCTGTCTCGTCTCGGAGCCTCCATGCCTCAGGCCCCCGATGCCTGGTCTGCACCCACCCCAGGTACCCCCTGCTGCTCTGGTCATTCAGGTCTTAGCCTCAGAGGCATCTTACCCCCTCGGGTCGCAGAGCCCTGGAAGTCACCTTACAATCTCTGTTTCTTCTTCATTTTTGGCCTTTGCCCTTAAGTGAAATTCCCTCGCATTATGGCCTAAATTGTGGCCCCCCCAAAGTCAGCCGCCAGAACCTCCGGAGGTGACTGTATTTGGAGATGGGGCCACTGAAGAGGTGATGAAGGTATCTTTGCCGCTGATGCAGTCTGCGTACACATCCCTACAAGCCCCAGAAATAGGCCGCACCTGTGAATCAGTGTTTACTGCAGAAGATGGTGGATGCTGACTTTTTGTCAAAAATTTCATTTTGTCCCTTTTGTTAGAAAAAAAGAGATTAACATAATAAAAATATCTTCAATGGTTAAAAATAAAAACAAAGGTGATAAAGGTAAAATGGAACCTTCAGGGAGAGCCCTAATCCCATATGACCGTTGCCCTTAAAAGAAGAGATTTGGACGCAGACAGACACACAAAGACCATGTGAAGGCACGGTGAGAAGGCAAGCGAAGGGGACAGGCCTCAGCGGCAATCAGCCCTCCCCGCACCTGGTTCACAGACTTCCAGCCTCCAGAACCGGGGAAAACAAACTTCTGCTGTTGAGGGCACCGAGTCTGCGATATTTTGCTATAGCAGCTCTAGCAGACTGATACTCGTTTGTTTAATTATTTTCCCTTCTCTTAGAGACAGTTCTACGGCAGCAGGAACCACACATGCCTTGTCCACCCTTCTATCTTTAGTGCCTCTAACAGTTCCTGGCACCTAGTGGGCTCTCTAGAAATATTTTTAAAATGACTGAATGATGCAGTCAGGGACCTGAGCCTTCGCTGTTCCAGTTGTCTTTGGCCATGCAAATATTTTCATTATTCATTAAGTCAAAAAGTAAACTTCTCACTGAAAGAATTACTTCAAAACATAGTCCTGGGTGCCACCCCATGTTTTCACGATTCTGTTTCATTCATTAATTCTCCAGTTTCTGGATGAACTCCCTTCTCAGTTCCTCTCTGCTTGTCTCTAGACAATTCCTCAGCCTCAGTCTTTCATCTTCCTGCCTTGATGTGCTTCACCCCACGTCCATCTTTGGGTCTGGGTGCCGGCATCCCAGGTGGCTGCCCAAGCCCTCCCATGAGCCCCTTCAGCTTCTGGCACCCACACAGAGAGCTGGAGGCAGAGTGCTTTTGCACACTCATCTTGCTCCCTTACAGGTGGAATGTTTGTGGCTGATCGCTCAGATCTCACCAGCCCTCTCCTAAGTGGGTTTGCTGTTTCTCCATCAAATACTCTCTGTGCCCCATGGCATGCCAGGCCCTAGGTGAGGCTCTAGGAATACCAGCCATAATTATGCTGGTGATTGTTGGCTCCCCCAGATCTCTGCTCGACACACTGGGGGCTGATCCCCACCTACCGCCTGCAGCTCCCCGGGGCCTCAATGGCAGCTTTCTGGCTGAAGTCAGCTAATAAGGGGCTCAAGAAAGCAGCAGGAGAGAGATGTCAGGGTACTGCTCCCCATCTGGATTTACAACCCCTGAAGGATGGCCTCTTCCTCACGTTGAGCCCTCCCACTGGCCTCTGGGGATGTCCAGGGCGGTAACCGCCTGCCATGCCTGCTGGCCTCTGGTGCCTCACCTTTCCATGTTTGACCCTCTTACCCTGCCCTCGCCTCTGATCATGGTCCTTGCGTGGACATTTCTTCAACTGAATCATCTGACAATGACGTCTGTTGCCTGCCTGGACTCTGACTGATACAGGCTTCATGTAAGTTCCTAACTTCAGTATTTTTTAACTTCACTTCCTCATGCTTTAGGGATAATTAGGGTGTGGTTCTCAGGCTCCAGTCTCCGTGGTGATTGGTTCTGAGGGACCGGTTTGCATCCCAGTCCATCCTAGTGCTTGGATGACCCCTCTGCTTGGTCATCCTGCCACCCTTCGCTGTTGGTGGTGGTGTTACCACTGCTCCTGGTAAAGCAAGTATACGGGGTTGGTGGGAAGAATGAAGGGGCAGAAATAACCCGTGCCTAGGGCGGCTGCAGCAGCCCCCACAGGAAGGAAGGGGGCGTAGAGACAAGCTGAGCAGGACTGCAGCTGTGGGGGAGATGCTTGCAGAACTCTACCGTGTTTGCAGAACGCGGAGAATTCATGGCTTTCCAAAGTGCTGCACTCGCTGACGGCTTGTTTTTTGTGGCTCGGAGAAATTTTCGTAGTTTATTAGAATAATTAACATTTAGAATCAGATTAGTGTTGGGGGTGGTTATGATATTTATGAGATGTTTAATAAGGTGTCTGCTTTATTTTTCATAATGCTGGTGGTGGAGGGGGTGTCTGGCTAAACTTCGGTGCTATTTTTATGCCGCTTGAGAGAGCAGATGACCTAAGCTTAGAGCAGTGGGAAAGACAGAGGGGAGGGAGAGGTCTGAAAGGTGGGTCGCTGGCCAGAGAAGACGGTGTCAGCCAGGCTCCTGTGAGGAACATATACATTAACATTTGGAAAAATCAGTACCATCTATTTGAACCGATATCTCTATAAATCATATTTTTTCCAGAAATGAAGTACTATAGAAAGTTCAACATTGAAGTTTTCATATCTTAATTTTCAAAGAGGTACTATGTCATGTATAACATATAAATGTTATTTACTCTGTTAAATTAAGTAGAGCCCAGGGTGTTGGGATGGTAAACAGGTTCCACGATGGATCAGGAGAAATTGAAGGAGAGGGTTTTTTAACTCACAGGCCCTGGGGGCGTACACAGCACGTCTCAGGACACACAGGGAAGTCAAGGCAGGGTGAAGACAGAGAGATGGCATGTGGGCACATGTCTTTATTAGGGACCTTAAGTGGAGTGCTTTGGGGTTCCCTGGCTAATGCCAAATTGATCAATTCAAACTAAAAGAGTGGGGTTTTGGTAAATTCCATTGGGGTTTTATCTAAGGGACCTAAGGCACATGGGCACCGGGAGGCAGAAGATTGCATTGATCACAAAGGCTACTGGGGAATCATATCAGGGACCTCTATTTGTTTGTGACTCTGTGGACCCCTCTCCACATGGGCACCTGAATGAAGGGCCTACAGCTTTAAGGGCCCTACAGGTTGCTTGGCAAAGAAAATGGACACTGAGGCAGCAATACCACAGGGCAGCTTAGCTAGACTCTCAACAAAATTACATATGCGTAACATACATACAGACATTGCTTTTTCAGTAATCATAGCGATTGATTCCTGGGATTGGAGAAGGCTTGCAAGAAACTACTAGGATGATGTGAGCCCTGAAATAAATCTTGTCCAGGAAGATGTGATGTATTACCAACAGAACCTAGGTAGTGCTTACAGAAAAGGGCATTTACACGGGACTTGTCATACTTATCTTTATTATGAAAGTGTTTCCAAAGTAAAATGATCCTCAAGGTAATGATTGCTTTCTGAGATCAAGGATGAATCATTATATTTTCATATAAAAATCAGCAAAACACAGTAACAATACATAAATAATTCTAATCAGCGAATAATGTATCATTCCATTTCTGACAGAGATGCTCAAGCATTGAATTGTCTTAAGAAAACAAGTGAGATTTTGTCACCTATTCTATTTCTCACTGCAAGAAATCAAACCCCAAAACTAACCACCTCCCCCTTCCAACAAAAACAAATGGCTATGGAGGTAATAACTGATTATGTGGGAAACAAAGGGCCGATGAAATCAGGAGCTTAGAGGCTTGGCCAAACTTTTCGGAATCAAACTTGGAGGGTGTCCTCCACGTTTAAATTAATGAGGCTCTAAGCTAAAGTTCCAGAATCACCATATAACTGTTCCTATTACAGATCTAATTTCTCTTTGGCAGCTAATCCCTAAAACCCCTGATTTTTAAAGGGCAGTTTTACGATGACAGTTTTAAAAATCACTACAGATCCAAAGGAAACACACTGTCTCCTTAAAATCTAATTTTTCATTTAACATAGAAATCATACCAACAGCTTTTATTACCTGGTTTTCAGGCCATGCAACATACATGAAAATAGGAAGCCACGCTTTTATGTACCGGTGTTAAGGAAAACAGGCTTACAAGGGCACAAAAGTTTTTAAGAAAAATGGAATCAGGCAGAGAAGTAAGTGTGGTAACACAACTGGTCCAAAAACTATTGGGAAATCAATAGTGGAGAAATGACAATATTCTGACTTCCTTTTATCAAGAGTTCCGGAAAGCTGGAGGGCTATGAGGAATGAGATAAAGGCTAGATCTTAGGCTAACGATGCCCTCCCACGACTTTCCGGGCAAGCCTGAGAATGCCTCTTGCGGAGACACCACCTGAAATGCCACTGGGCTACAGGGACTTTTATTTCTTTGATCTGATGGGGTCTTAGCTTGTGGCCATTTGGTCACACATTCCTTTCAAAGGCTTCAGGTTAAACTCAAGTTGGAAATGCCCGGAAGAGATGAAGGTTCTCCTTTGGGTGTCTGCAGATCTTACTAAGACTTACTATGTGTTATGTTCTCTGGTGCAATTTTCTCCATGAAAACCAGCATCAGGCATGCCTTGAGTGTCTTAGAGAAGTTCGAACAACCCAGAGTGGACAAGTGAGCAGGCTTCCCCAGCACCTACTGAGTGTCCCCTGGGGAGGGGGGTGGACACAAAGGCAAGCAGCCAGAGGGCCCTTTGCTGGCCTGTTACCATGAAGAACTAAGATGGGGCCACACGAACCAGTGCTAAGTACTCTCTGGCACAATTTTGTTTTATCAAGAGAAGCTTACCCGGACTCTGAGAGCAGCATAGCTTCATTAAAAAAAAATACCTTGCTGCATTCTGTATGACTTGAAGCACTGCTTATGATTATCAAAAGTACTCCTTCCACGGACAACACGCCAGACAGCAAGGGCAGTAACCAGAGCTGACTGTATTTTCTCTTTCCACAGAAGTGACTTAGAAACTCAAAGTGCCTGTAACCATATTCTTATCAGGCTGACAGTTGATCTGAGTTGTGGTTTTTTTTGCTTACTGGAATGTTAGCAACATTTTAGGGCTACTAATATTTGTCTACAAAGCAGGAATCAGCCCAAGACAAAGAAAGGAAAAGTTAATTAGACTCTCAAGACCTGAAATGTCACATGAAATGTAAACATTTAACCTTTTACTTCCAAAGGATTTCTTGAAGCCCCTCTGGACATAATGACATCGTCACACATACTGATAAACAGAATCTTTTAACACCTTTGGAATTATTCTGTACATTGCAAATTATGAAAAAAATACTCAAATATTCAGGCAACTTTGGCAACGTTTGTAAGAAAAGGACAAAAGTAACTCCCATGGCAAAGTCATGAACAAATCGGGAATAATCACGGTATCCATAAAGGTCTGTCCAAAGAGCTCTCTTACAAAGACTTAGGTAAGCTGGAGTGAAGTCTCATTTAAAAAAAAAATTTCTGCCCAAATAAAAATAAGATTGAAATACACAAAGTGGAAGATTCAGACCCTTTCTACCTAAGGTGAAAACATTCAGTTTGCTCAAACTCCATCAAATACTCAGAATGGAAACTTTGGCAGTGGAACTGGACATTTTGCGGTTCACCCACCACTTTGGCTAAAGGTGGCCTGATCATACACTACGACAGAGTCATTTCTCTCACCCAGTGGCTTGCTCTTTGGAGAACCCACCTTTCTTCCCAGCTCATCTTTGTCAGATGCCTGTTGGATTATCTGGTGGTTGTGCAGGACACCTAGCAGGAGTTGGGTGTTAAAATCCTGTGGTGAAGCAGCAGTCACCTGCATTTTTCCGACATTTAGTTTAGTAATCCAAAATACTGACAGTTGCTCCCCTATTCTCAACACTAGTGTCACTAAACTTAGAAATGTGAACTGCCTTCGGCTTGTGTGCTGACCTGAGGCCCTCTATGACCTTAGCTCTGAGGCTAAGAGGCTGAAAGGATTCCATCACTCAGCTCTGTGGGGAACGTGAGCAGGAGCTCGAGAGGGAGGTGCCAAGTTTCTGTTGTACATGGTGGATGGTTCTTATGAAAAGAAGATGGGCAAGGGTGAGTGATATTTTGGTTTCATCATGTTTTTGGAGAAACACACATGTACATACATACATCACACGTTCTTACATCATGTATTGATACAAGGTCAAATTCTACTCTATTTTCTACTTTTTCCCCACTAAGAGATCTAGAAAAAGCTATAGTATTAGAGACTAAAAAAATGTTACTTTTTCTAGACTCCTTCCTACACACCCCTTTGTTCCCTAGGAAGGTTTACATGTGACCAGGAGGAAGGAGATAGCAACACGGGCTAAATCAATTAATAGGAAATAACACTCTTACTAACCTACAGTCAAATTTACAAAATATGCTTCCAAAACTGTAGCATAGCCCAGGCAGAAGGTAAGGTAGTTGACATATTTTTCTCTCTCAGCCTTATCAGGCTACCATGGGGTAATAGTAGACAGAGTTATGTTATTCTTCATCTTAAAAGGTCTACAAACAAACACCATTTTGTTTAGTCAAAAAGAACCCTAAGGTATAAAATCAAATAAAACTCTACGCAGATACGCAGAAAGCTGTGCTGAGGGAACATCAACGGTCAGAGGCTCTGAGTATTCTCAGTTCTCCGTGTAAGTGACTTCTGGGAAAAACAAAAGGTTGTTCAGATTTGTCTTTCCTAAGGGGAGACTCAATTTACTTCATTTCAGCAACTCTTCTAAGCCTTTAATTTACAAGCTGGCTTTTGAAATTACTCTTCTGTGCTAAAGAGGGTCAGATATCCAAATCTGAACACTGCAGTTCTCTGGCTTATTTTGCCAGTGGAGAGGACTTCTCCAGACACTGAAAAGAGGTACAATTCGCCCTTCAGTTCCCTATTTTAGTTGATAAGAATAGGAACTTTCACCTTGAGATTTTTGTTATAATATTCTTGCTGCTACTTTTTATATATCTTCATTTTAGTGGATATTCAGATGACTAACAAGTACTTTTGATGCTTAATGATTGGTCTTACAAGCTCAAACTAGTTACAAATTATCCTCCTAGACATATCCCTGTTTTGTGAAATAAAATCATAAGGCATTGCAAGAATTAGTTGTGTGGTTTTCTCAAGCCACAGACAGATGTATTTCTAAGCCTCTTTAGTTATTACTATGGATCATGCCAGAAACACACTATGCTACAAACAGACGGGGAAAGATTTACTATTACAGTGTGCAGTTTTTGTTTGGGAGTATTCTTTTAAGGATTAGCACACAGGCTGCCAATTGTGGGCACAAAGCTTTACTTCAACTTTTTTAGGAAAAATGGAATTGAACACAAGTATCTCTAGCAGGACAAACACAACTTAGCATTTTGCCCCTGTCTTGACTTTGCCCCAACTCACACATTCATTTCACTGCACTGTAGTTCATGGACTCCTGTTTAAGGATGGTCTTTTTCATTGATGAAATAAGTGTGTGGAATACCTTTTTATTCCTACTACAGTTGGAAAACAAAGAGAAAATCTTTGGTTTATGTGTAGGGTTTTCCTATCTAAATATAAATAACCCTGTGTAGGAGACTATGGAAACTTACCTTCTCAGCGATCTTTCTCATTGCTGGTACTGCCGTTGTGCTGCAGAATTTTTATTGGTTTTCCGGGAATAGTTCTGTTTGAATAAAATTCTTGGAAACTGAAAAAGTCTTCAACGAGCACAAAAGGACTTAGAGTACAACACTGCTCAGTTTCGAGTCACTGCCAGTCACTCTGCATTATGTTTGAGGAGGAAAGACAGAGGATAAAAACAGTCTTTCTCTCATTGGCTTTATTTTGCTCAGAGAAATAAAAATCGTCAAAATCAAATACTAGAAAGGGTACTTTCTTTAAAGTTGGTTGCAGGAAAGGGCTTTGCCAACTCCTGAAAGTCTCCTTTCTCTGTCCCAAGATAGACTTAGTGTCTTTTTTTCATGACATGACAGAAGATTGTGCTAATTACAGTCGAAGTGGTGAAATCTGACTGAAATCAGTTGCTCTCTTTATGTTATTCTCAGATCACAAGACAGACTCCCAACAGTAGGAGTGATTTCTTTGTTTGTTAACTATGACCTTCAGCAAATGTTTTCCTTTAGAGCCAGAGCACTAAAGAATCTCTGTAACCTACAGAGTTAATCCCCAACTAGCTATCATACTTAATGAAGAAAACTTGGCTGTGTGCACAAGAAATGACGTCTATGCCAGACATGCCAATTTAACACAAGCAATTTTTAAAAAGTTCTCCAATAACCAGACTCTTTGATTTGAACGGCTAACTGATCATGAAGGGTGACAATTAAAAACTCTAGCTCCTCCTGCTTAAACTTGATTTTGGGAGAACGGCCACAGAGATGGCATAGGCAATTTCAAAGTGGGTGCTGTAACACAAAGAAAGCAAGCCTATCTGGAGCTGCACAAGCTCTTGCACTGGGTTTTGCTTGTTCTAAGTGGCAAAGTAAGCCAAGGCTCCTAGCAGACTGGACTGCAGCAAGAGAAAGGGCGGAAGCAGATGGAGCACCTCCCTCACTGTCCTGAACCGGGAGAGGAAAAGGAGTGAGGAAATCCTCTTTTGTCCACAGATTTACAAACAAATACAAAAAAAAATAATAATAATATTCCAAGACAGTACAAATGTAAATACTGTTCCCTGGTGTCAATTACATTCAGCATGCCTACACAGAGAGAAGGGTAATTCTTCTTCGTTCCCGTACAGGACACAGGGCAGTGCACTATTCAAAATGCTTTGATAAAATCCTAATTTTTGTTTCTGGGGCTGAAATATAGTGAAAGAAAATGCATTTGCAACTGAGTAAATACTTCCAGGAACAAACAGTTCACTTTGTTTGGGACTTGTAGTTTTATATAATTACTCATCCACAGAGCAAGGGCCAGTCAGGAGATACCCGTTGGTACCACTGGTCCCATTGGTGGTGGTGGTGGTATGGGGGGTCTTCCCTGGAGGTTCCGCATCCTCCTCATCTGAGCTGGATTCAATATCACTGCGGTCATCCTTGGACACCTGGGGAATACAGAAGGTGAGGGCAGCCGGCTCCTAAGGAGTCGTTAAGGTATGGCATGCTTAGAGCTACATGCAGTCAGACAGGAAGGGAATCAGAGCCAAAGGTTAAAAAATCAAAGACAGGAAGATTGCAATAGTGACAATTCCCCTCCACTGGCTTCTACAGTTTGGGTGACAAAGCCAGTTCTCAAGGAATGCAGGTGGATTGAGGCATCATGGGAGCTAGACTTGCTGACCTCTTTAAGGTACATTTGCATATCGAGAAGGGAGTAGACCATGAGCCCCCCTCTTACTGGCAAAGCGGCACACGGTACCGGTGCAAAGGTATTAAAGTGACTTAGTACAAATGGATTGGTTAATTCTCTGATGATCACATTCTCCTTGAGAATCTCTTAAAGTCAGCTCTCAGTTAATCACACTCATGGAGATATTCAGCAGCTCTGAGCATGTAAAACATCACTCTTAATTGGCTTTGCAATGCATTATTTTGTGATTTTCTTTTCTGTCTGCTAGAACTAAGTAAAAATTTTGTTTTACATATTACATAACAATTAGTGGCAGCGGGAGACGTTCTGGGAACCTGATAGGTGAGGTCTAGTTTAAAACATTTCCCCAGGAAACCAACTGACTAGATCATCACAGATGGGCCCCTTCATCCCGGGGTTAATTCTCCATTCAGTCTCACTCAGTAATGAGGCTGGCAAGACAAAGGCCCCAGGATATAGGTCTACACATTACCCTAAAGGACAAAAAAATCATACTGTGTAGTAAGGATGCAATTTAGGGAGAAATTATGGAATTACAAGCATACCTCACCTTATTGTGCTTTTGCTTTATCGCATTTCAGAAATACTGTGTTTTTTTTTTACACATTGAAGGCTTGTGGCTACTTGATGTTGAACAAGTCTAACTGCCATTTTTCCAACAACATTTGCTTACACTGTGTCTCTCTGTTGTATTTTGGTGATTCTCCCAATATTTCAAAGTCTATCATTATCATATCTGATGTTCCTACTGTTATTGCTTTGAGGGTGCCACAACCCACATCCATGTAAGACAGTCAATGTTATGTGTGTTCTGACTGCTCCGCGGACTGGCCATTCCCTCATCTCCCTCCCTCCCCTCATGCTTCCCTATTCCCTGAGACACAACAATATTGAGATTAGGACAATTAATAAACATACTATGATTCTAAGCATTCAAGTGAAAGAAAGAGTCAGATATCCCTCACTTTAAATCAAAAGATAGATATGATTAAGCTTAGTGACGAAGGCGTGTTGAAAGCTGAGATGGGCTGAAAGCTAGGCCATCACACAATCAGCCAAGTCGTGAACACAAAGGAGAAGCCCTTGAAGGAGATCAGACGTGCTGCCCAAGTGAGCGCATTAACGACAAGAAAGCAAACTGCTGATATGGAGAAAGTCTGAGCGGTCTGGAGAGAAGATCACAGCAGCTCTAACATCTCCTTAAGCCAAGTCTAATCCAGAGCGAGGCCCCAACTCTCTTCAATTCTATGAAGGCTGAGAGAGGGAAGGAAGCTACAGGAGAAACCTGGAAGCGAGCGGAGGTTGGTTCATGAGGTTTAAGGAAAGGAGTGTCTCCATAACATAAAAGTGCAGGTGAGGCAGCAAGTGCTGATGGAGAAGCTGCAGCGAGTCACCCAGAGGATCCAGCTCAGATCATTAATGAAGGTGACTACACTAAACAACAGAGTGTTAATGTAGACTAAACAGCCTTCCACTGGAAGAAGATGCCATCTAGGACTTCCATAGCTGGAGAGGAAAAGTCAATGCCCCGCTTCAAGGCTTCAAACAACAGGCTGACTCTCTTTAAGGGCTAATGCAACTGGTAACTTTAAGTTGAAGCCAGTGCTCATTGACTGTTGTGAAAATCCTAGAGTCCTTAAGAATTATGCCAAATGTATTCTGCCTGTGCTCTATCAGTGGAACAACCAAGCTTGGATGACAGCACATCATGCTATAGCATGATTTCTTGAGTATTTTAAGCACAGTGTTGAGACCTACGGCTCAGAAAAACAAGATTCCTTTCAAAATATGACTGCTCACGGACAATGCACCTGGCCACCTAAGAGCTCTGATGGAGATGGACAATGAGATTAATGTTGTTTTCCTGCCTGTTAACCCTGCATTCATTCTGCAACCCATGGATCAGAGTGAGTTCATCTTTCAAGTCTTATTATTGAAGAAATGCATTTTGTAAGGCTACAGCTGTCATTATGATTCCGATGGATCCTGGCAGAGGAAATTGGTAACATTCTGGAAAGAAACCACCATTGTAGACACCATTAAGAATGTTCGTGATTCTTTTGGAAGAAGTCAAAATATCAGCACTAACAGGAGTCTGGAAGAAGTTGATACCAACACCCATGGACGACCTTGAAGGGTTTGAGACTTCGGTGGAGGAAATCCCTACAGATGTGGTGTAAACAGCAAGAAAACAAGAATTAGGTGGAGCCTAAAGATGCCACTGAATTGCTGCGTCTCAGGATCAGACTTGAATGAATGAGGAGTCACTCCTATGGATGAACAGAGAAACTTTCTTGAGAGAGAAGCTACTCCTGGTGAAGTTGCTGTGAAGATCATTGAAATGACAACTCAGGATTCAGAATATTCCATAAACCGAGTTGATAAAGTGGCAGGAAGTTTTGAGAGGACTGATTCTAATTTTGAAAGAAGTTCTACTGTGGGTAAAATGCTATCAAATAGTACTATATGATACAGTAAAATCGTCCATGAACAGTGCCAAACCTCACTGCTGTCTTATTTTAAGAAATTGTCACAGCCAAGCCAGCCTGAGGCAGCCACTGATGAGTGAGCAGCCACTGAGGCAGGACCTTCACCAGCAAAAAGCTTACAACTTGCTGAAAGCTATGCTTACGGTTAACATTTTTCAGCCATAAAGTATTTTTTAATTAAGGTAGGTACATTGTTTTTCTAAATATAATGCTATTGCATACTTAATAGACTACAGTATAGTGCAGGCTAATTTTCAGATGTATTGGGAAACAAAAAAATTCATGACTTGCTTTATTGCAATATCTGCTCTACTGCAGTGGTCTAGAACTGAACCGAACTAAACAAGATATTCCCATATTCTATTGCTTTTAAAATTAAAGTAGTTTGAACCTCCTTCTCTGCAAGTCTAAATTATGGTAGGCACTTTGACCTAACAGGCCTTATGATCTTGGAGTAACTGAACATTGTTTACTTATTTTCTAAGTGGGGTGCCAGGAGGGACCGGGTGGCCTGGCTTCATACAAAGTTTCCCAATGTAGTCACCTGTGATCCTCTAAAAGGTGGGTTAGGGGGGGTTGGCTGAGTCCCCTGGGAGGTATATCAAAATGAACCTGGGGCTTCTTCCCATCACATTCTCTCTGTACCACCACTGATCCCCAGATGGGGAACCTGGAATCCACTGCCTTCCTCATTCGAGAGGCCGCTGTTGCTGCAGGAGAGCTTCTCTGTCAGGTGGGTAGAGACTGGAGAAAGTAAGAGTTGAGAAATAGTGTTCCTGTCTAACCAGAGATGACTGAGCATAAATTGTAAAAATGGAACTTCATTCCAGTGCCTCACAAGGACTGTCTCCAAGAAGATTTAGATTCTGGAACACCAAAAACTTGAAAGAAAACATGGATCACAAAGATAGCATTACAGTAAAGCTCTACTACATGCAGAAAGCCATCAGTCATAAATTAAATAACTAATAGGAAAGAAAACTGCAGTTTCAGAGAGTGATTAATTTACATCTGTGCGCTTTGTAAGATTATTTTTAATTGCATTTGGGAAAAAATTCTTGTGTCATCTTCAAAGAAAAGAACAATTTAGAATGTCTCAAAATAACCCACAGGAAAATAAGAGTCCCTAATCCACGGCCAAGATCGATCTTACTATCCTAGGCGAGCCGCAATGGCAGTTAACATATTCCGAAGCCTGAGATCTGGAGGGGAACTGACGACAGTCCCGTCATAATGCTGAAGGAGTAAGTCGGAGAGAAGACTGTAAGCCTGGGGGAAAGAGCAGTGCGGTGAGGATAAAGGAATCCCATCCAGGGCATCCTTGAATCTTCAGTGACTGTTACCACAATGAACAGTATTGTGCATGTTGAGTTCTTTTCTATCCAAATGAAGACTGGAGTGTTTTTTTGCAGAAATATGTGCTCATTTTAAAGCATAACAGGTCACAAGGAAAAAATGAACTTTTGCTTCTAAACAGTTAATTGATGGAAATATTTTAGATTTATGAACTGGCTACATGCTTGTGACCAGATGTACTGAGCCCCCGTGGAAGGCTCCGTTCACCTCGTCAAGGACACGGCGGTCGGGGGTAGCCCTGCTGCACAGGGCAGGCGAGGCGAGTGCCGGGGGTGCTCAGGCCTCCGCGCCGGACCACCTGGGTGTCCTCCCCGGCTCAGCTCTGTTCCCCCTATTTCACTTTGGTTTAGGTCTGGTTTTCAGCTGACGTGTTACACACCAATGGAAAAGAATTCCTTTCCTCTGCTGGATTCATGCAAAATCTAGCAGAATATAAGCTCACAAAAAAAGGCACTAACAGAGCTGCTCTTAGCCTCTCTTGCAGCTGGTGGGAGCCACTCCTCGTTAAAGCCTCTAGCCAGTGCCAACAGATTAGACAGGACTTGATGCATGGAAACAAAAGCATCGGAGTGGCCCTCCGCAGGCTCAAGGACAAGGACAGGGAGAGGTGTGAGGGACTTACATGTAAAGGGTTCCATTTCCCAGCCTTCCGGGGTGGCAGAAGGAAGAGAACAAACATCAAAAGTAAGAAAACGGCACAGAGAACTTTCTGGAAAAGTCAGTGATCTACACAAAGGGGCTGAGGCTCAAGAAGTTTTATCTGAATCAGCCTCATGATCACATTTTTAACCAAAGAGATTCAACTAAATTTTTATGGGAAAGTCATAAATGGGCATACTGCTTCAGGCAACCCTTCTCATTAAAGGAAAGAAATTATTAAATTGTTGTTTCAGTATAAGAATAATCAGAGAAAGAGCAAGGGAGACAGAAAGAAGGAGAGAAAGAACACAACAAATAATTTACCATCGTTAAATATAAAGTTACAAAAGCAGATCATTGGGAATCATCGGCAGCCAAGCAATGGTACAATTGAAAAGAACTAACTAGAAGATGACAAAACTCTGGTTTATGGTTCCAGGAGCTTAGGCTAAATTCTGAAGGAAAAAAGCACAAGTTCTGATGAAATTTGAAATAATAATGTTCTTGTTGATTCAGAAGAACCAAAATTAGTGACTTTGTGGGACATGTTAGAACGACTAAGTTTAATCTTACCTTGCCTCTTGAAATAGCTTTGCAAGCTATTTTTATGATCAAGTAGGACCAGAAGCAGTTCAAGCCTTGTACCAGCAAGAGCAGTAAGTTAAAAAACCACCAGGAAGGGTAAGGCCCAACGATCTCCCAACTTTCAAATAATGTGGTATTTAACACCCTAAGGAAAAGGAGAAAACGATCATTGAACACGACTTTGCCTTTGGTAGAACTTGAATTACTACGCAGAAGCACGAAGCCAACGGTACCCACCAACCAATCCCTCCCTGCAAGGACGCAAGGATGGCCCACAGCCTGACTAGGTACTTAGAGGACTCCTGCCCTGCGTTATTCCCCTGATGGCGTAACACTCGTTTCGATTCTAGGTTGAATAATATACTTATGCTCCCCTTTCCTTGTGTGTTGTCATTTCTTCTACTAATTTCCATTACATTTCGGTTGTGATTCTATCTCTGACTTGTCCTATCTCTTGTTAAAAGGCGTGTATTGTCCTTGAAATCTTTGTAGTCTTTAATTAAGTGTGAGGAATACCATTTAACAATATTACATTGTAAGGTTAAACAGATAATTAATTCCAGAAACATTAAGTTGAAACTATACACCCAGCACAGTCGGAGTCAGAATACACGTAAGGCCAAATCCTTGCCCTCAAGTGGTTTATCGTCCACCAGGGTTCTTCATTTTGTAAGCCTTCCCTTGGGAAAGACTTGACAATTGAAAGATACCATTTTGAAATGATGCTTTGAGAGGAGTACTGGAAAGGTTTTTAAAAAAATTATTAGAATATAGTGAATGTGCTTTTAAGAGCGTGTACTTGGAGCAGGCAGAAGTGTTTGATGTACCTGCTTTTCTCCGCAGTCGTCCGGCAGGACCAGGAAGGGACAGCCCCTGGGGCGAATACAAGTGGGCCGGCGCCAGGCCTTCACTCTTGTCCCTGCTCTGTCCACTCCTAGGCCTTTGGAAGTTGACTCAAGTGTTCTGGACTCACATTGTTGCCACAGAAAAGCAGGGTACCCACAGAATTTGGGGGCCACTCTAACTTCCTTACTTTCCTCCTCAGCTTACTACAGGGCTGGTCTGGAGATCTAAAGACCAGAACTCACCGAAGTGTATGTCCACCCTCGGCCACTGCAGCACTTTGCAGGGCCCTGGGGTATGTGGCCAACGGTGGCTACGGGGGAAGGAGGGGAAAGTCTGTACCTGAGACACAGACCCCTCACACAAGAACAGACGCCAGATCCGCAGGAAATAGTTAATGTGAGAGTGTGATGAGGGTTTTGAGAGAAGTTAAGAAAAGTACTTTGTGAATTGACAAAAAGGAAAAAAAATCTCACTTATTTGCAGTTGGAATAAGAGGTAAAGGAAAGAAAGAAAGAGAATAAATAATAGACATAAACAAAAACAAGCTCTCCATCCCCAAATTCAGCAACCCACATTTACAGATCAAAATGAGACAGTGTGTCTCTGATCCTGCCATGCTAGTTGTCTCTCAAGAACAATGCCACATAAACATGGGTGTTAAAATCCCAAGAACAACAGTATTGATTTGAATGTGGCAATTCACTGAACGTCCATTACTCTATGATGTAGTAGTTTTCATCCTGATGGAGACCAATATTAGGAAATCTATTAATATAATGTATCAGGCAGCCAAAGGCCAAATTGGTACAAACTGAATTATTTCAATAGCATTGAAAGACATTTATAATGTTCAATTCCCCATTGCTGATGCATAAAAATTATAACTCAAAGGACATACTTAATATGATTTTTAAACCAACTTAGAGCAGCAGTTGTCATCATATTTAATGCCTTTAAAATGAAGAACAAACTGATCAGCCAGGATCACCACTCTGATTTAACGCTATTCTGGAGGTTGTGGCTGTTCAGTATGGTAGAAAGTCAAAGACTGCATCTCAAATATGTAGACATTAAATCTCCAAAACTCCTTCAAAACAACAACCAACCAAAATTTCTAGTAACGGGATGGTTGAAAAATTAGTTTTCTAGAAATTATAAAGTCACTCAAAGAATTAAACATGTCTTAAGAGTTTCTTATGATAGAAATAGACAATATAATCTCAACTCCATAAAAATATATGTGTGGGTATATGTGTGTGTATATATACACACACACACACATATACCCACATATAGAAAAAAAGAAAAAAAGGGGGAATTATACTTCCTTGAAAGGACTCAATCAAAACCATTATAGACTTTCTTTGGTGGATTAGGGAATTTTATATTTTCTTTATTCTTCTTTTTTCCCAAACCTATGACAAATTAGGGAAAATATTTCAAGTTATTTGTAAAAAGGAATTCATTAGGATAATGCCTACATTCCTGCCTTGTTTATTATCCCAAGAGGCAGCTATCTCTTTGAACACCAGTTTGCAGGAGGAGACAGCAGGTCTAAACAAGGTTCAACTCTGTGGCGGCAGGAGAGGACAGACACACCTTACACTTTTCTAGCTTCATTACCTTGCAAAACGCCTGGAAGTAATGTGTTTGCCAGACATGCTGGCAGACTGACTGTGTGCGCGTGTTCAGTGATCAGGTAAGTGGGTGTGCACAAGACAGCGTGAAATGGTAACACTAACATTATTTCGGAATTAGCTCTGCTTCTTGAACTACTGTTTGTTTTGACATTCAGAGGGATAGTTTCATTTGAACAGACAATGGTCCTGTAGACATCGTAACAGGAATTGTCTTAGGTCACTCATTATAAATTAGCTTTTGCGGGACGATAGGTTGACAGCCTTGCTCACCATTACGATTTGCTTCACTTAATTTGAACAAGGTATCATGCAGTACAGGTGACATGGCATGCACATGAATTTCTGCAGCTCTGCACGAGAATTCATAGGCTTTGCATGACGATCACTGACACCTCTGATATGCTGCTCACAAGTAATGGGATTTCTTTGAAAACTGACTCGCCTGCCTGTAGAGACACTTGGGAAAATACAATCAGTGCACCAAGTGGAAATACATCTTAGTGAGAAGCTTGGTTAAGAAAAACAATGAATTAGGAATTCAGCCTGACGAGAAAGCTAGCTATCATTATGCTACCTGGACTCTGAAAAACAGTGAACCCAGATAACAGGGCCTTTGTTTAGCTGCAGAATGTCTGATGGGGAAATCAGCCCTTTTTGGACAAACTATTAAAATGGTGAGCACAGGATTGCATCCTTCGTGTTAAGTGTATGTGCTTTAACGATGCTGTTGCCAGTCTTTGGTGACAGAGCTCTGAGAGGTGGTTATCCCTGAGGGAGGACTGACGGGAGATGTGAGGGAGGTGCTAGGGTGCTGGAAATGTCCTCTGGCTGATCCAGGTGGTAAATATGCACCAAGTTGTACAGGGAAGAGCTGTGCACCGTATTGTGTATGTAAACTACCCCTCACTAAAACAGAATGGAAGAGAAATGCTCTGGGTCAGACACTGCTGGCCTGCAAATTTTGGCTTGCATATTACTGTAACAGCAGTGTTCTTCTCCCCATAATTATTTGGGTCCATCATACGGCTTCTAAGAAAATAGACTTTTTTTCTTTCCCAAGTAACAGCCTGCAGCACCCAAACCTCCTTCTGCTGCTCAAATTGACGAGGAAGGACCACTTTCCTTTTCATTAATGTTACGCTCACTTAACCACTAGGTGGCACATCACGCGTGTGCCGAGCAGGCTCGAACAGGTTTGATCTGCCCGAACCTTCTGCCACAGAAACCACCTGGCCTGCAGGTTACACCCTCCTTTCTAAGAATCATGCCCAACAATAAAATGCGGAGGCTCCAGTCTGTGCTGCTTCCCGTGTGATTCTTGATAAACATGGATGCCTGCAGGGCAAAGCTAAGCTCCCGTGGTCCACCAGTGATGTGCCTGCGTGGCCTCCCACCCCAGCAGCTGAGCCTTGATGGGTTATTTTTATGGATGTTTAATGAATCATAAGAATTTAATCTGACTCTGCCCTATAGCTACATTCACTCATGCTTACCTTCTGATTTTCATTTTAAATTTGATTATCACAGAACTATTATACAGGCTAGGTGGGCATAGGGGATGTACGCATTCATGCAGAAAAGTTTACAACCTTTTCTTAAGAAAAGAAAACAGGAGTCTCATTTGCATATGATATTTAAGAACTTACTCAGATTCTAAGCATCGATATGACTTCTGCTTCTCCTTAAGCCACAGACTTCTGGAAGTCTCATATCATACAGCACAGTGTGAAAGATCTCCACTGGCATCTCGTTTAGAAAAGCTATAACGAATGCTCGATTTCTTCCTCTTACCATGACTCTCAACTCAAGGTAGAAGTTTGTTATCTGTAATAGGTATGGTTAGATGCACACCCTCACTTTCAGTTCCATGTGTCTTAGGGTTTAAAATACTCCAGTGCTTTAGAGGTAGGGTCGCAAAATAGTGGCTGAGATGCTGAAGACGATCAAGGCCCAGGTGCTCTCCTAGTGTGAGTTACAGGTGGATGCTTACAAGGATCCCGCAGCCCCTGCACAAGGTGACCAGAAGCTTCCCCTGTGACCCTTCTCCTCTCTTCTCCCACCAAAGAGCCCCACGAGCCTTGGGCTGGGGTTTCTGGAGTGGCCTATCTGAGAAACACAGCAACAATCAGACCCTTGCCAAATATCCAAGGAGAGCCAGGACTGCTTCCCGAAGAGAGCTGTGGGCAGGGCCTGGCTTTGCGGCGAGCCGCACAACGCCAGAGAGGGTAGACTGAAGGGCAGAGTCTCCTTACAGGGAAAAGTACGATGTTCTTTACTTCAGAGCTCCCAAAGAGTCTTGCCTTTGCCTTCCCAGACAGACTGCAGTGTATCCACCATGTATGTTTCTCTGGCATGTGTTTTCCTTTGACCTACTTGAATCATAAAAGTAGATTCTACTGAAAGATTGTCAATAATCTGCTGGCATGTTTTGCTCATTTTAAAGTAGATGACAGAAAAGAATTTAAAATTTACTCTGAACAGAAACACTGGGTACTTAGTACCTGAATAAGAACCAGGTAATTAATTCACTGTTGTTAAGGAATCCTCTCTGTCCTGGTTTTTCTAGAGTAATATTTGCTCCTGGCCTAAACAGCAACCTGCTCAAGCGTTGTGGCAGGGGAGGGTTCAAGGCTTCTCCGGGGCTGAAAAGCACACTTGC